CATGTAATGCAAACTCTGTTTGCAAGCAACCAAGTCCAAAACAAAAGGTCCCTCAAAGGCACTGGAACTCAGGAAATAGTTTTAAAAAAAACCACACAATTCAGGAGGCCGACCCGGAGGTCGACGGCACAAGAGTCCCTCACAAAGCCGCCGCCCATGTGGATTGTAGGGGCGTTGTGAAAACAGTTCAGGCGGCCAACCGCGCCAGCGAAGAAGTCCATTCAGCGGCCTGGATAAAGCGGCAGCGTGGCTACCGCAGGACCAGAAGAGGCAGGACCCGGCGATGACAGCACTGCAGGCGATGCCGTGGAAGCCGCAGGTGGTGACACTGCTGGTGACAGCGAAGGCTGGACGGGCCGCTCAGACCCTCCAGCAGAGGCAGACAAAGGCTTAAGCCGTCCCTCAGACCCTCCAGCGGAGACAGACATGGGAGTGCTGGATCGGCTTACTCGAGCCTCCAGCAGGAGCAGAAGCTGGGCCAGAAGGTATTGGGACCCCTGGCTGAGTGTGTAGCTGACCAGGTGGTGGAGTGACAAACAGAATTGGTGGGTGAGCTAACGACCGGATGTTTAACTGAGTTGCTGGCTCCGCTGCTGGTACCTGAGCTACAGGGAGCAGAGCAGGAGACTGAGCTGACAACCAAAGTGATGGTTGAGGTGAGAGTGGAGCAGGTGGTGGAGTAGACGACTGAGCTAGGGGCTGTGTTAATGGTTAAGCTGCACACTGGGGAGATGGCTGAGCTAAGGGCGACTGAGCAGGAGACTGAACTAGTGGGGACTGAGTAGGAGACTGAATTAGGGGCAAGTTAGCAGGAGGCCACGCTTCAGGAGACAGAACAGGAGCCTGAGCAGGTGACTGCAGTGACAATTGTGGAAGTGGAGCTGGTGGTTGGGAAGAAGGCTGAACTGTAACCTCAGTAGGTGACTGAGCTGATGGCTGCTGGGCGGCTGACTGGGCTACAGGCTGAACTAACGGCAAAGCTAATGACTGAGCAAACCAAGCTGCGAGGGTTTTTAGAAGGGTGGCTGAGTCCTCCTTGCCTGGGCCACCCATGCCAAACAGTTCAAAACAGAGGCTTGCTCTCAAGTCCATGATTATTTGTTTTAATGCTTTAATGTCCAAGAAACTGACGGGACACGTAGTGGACGACAGGAAGTGATCAACAAACACTACCTCCAGTTGCCTCTTGTAGGGATCTGCAGCGTAGATTATCCTCCGGTAGTAATCCCCTAGTTGCTCTAACCATTCCTCCTCCGGGCAAAATTTGAGTCTACTGAGTCAATTTTGTGGTCGTGTCCTTCTGTCTTGATTCAGCTGTGTGCAGGCAGAACTCACAACACACGGGAATAACTCAAAACGCAGCTTTATTGCTGACACATGGAAAAGATACAGAACTAAAGTAAACTGGAAAATATAAACTAAACGTCTCCAAGAGGAACACACAGCATGAGGGAGGACGCAACACTGACACAGAGAAACACAAGACTTAAATACACTGGGGAATAACGAGGGGAATGAGACACAGGAGGACAGCACAGCTGGGACAAATCAGACATGATGAGACCAAAGGGAAGCAAAATTCAATACGTTCACCTAGGACACAGACCTTCAAAGTAAAACAGGAAACGTAACACTGAGCCGCAGAGTTGACTAGGGGATACAGCTGACAGGGAGACAGAGCAACTAAGAAACACAGAGACCAAAGACAAGAGAGGCACATAGAATACTAAATACTGGGTCAGTGCCCCAGGACCATGTCAGAAAGTAAACATATTACTGATACAGAAATAGTTTTCAATACGAGATCACTGCAAAGAGCACAGCCTTGCCTAATGTCCACCCTGTTACTCATTTTATATTAAGATTTAAAAATCTAGTTGGTATTGCTTTCAGAACTGCACATGATCATTTGCACCTAGGAGGTTGCTAATGCTAGCCGCGAATTGTTAATCAAGTCTAACAGTCTATGAACTAACCTCAGCTAACACCAGCTAACAATGTTAGCTTGGTAACATTGTTACCGAGCTGGGGACCTTATATCTGAAGAATGTTGGCATCATATCATACAATTGTTTTATAATTTGCTCATATAAGCAAATGAGTATAAAAGGGGGGTTGTAGGCCATTATAAAGGGCAATTGTGATGCATGCTATAGGATATGTCGGGCTTTGTTTGATTCCCTACCTCGTGATAATTAATGTCTGTATTTTTTTCCCTTGACTTTAAATGTGGAATACTGTACATATTTTGACCCAGATATTGATATTTGTAACTTATGTACCTGTGTTTTTTTCCCTTCTGTTTGTATTTGCCTCTGCTAATTTGTTGTTGTTTGCCTTGTTTCCAAAAAAGTCAATACATCATTGTTTTATAAAAAGAAGGCTTGTAGGAACATTTGAGGTTGTTCTTCTTGATCTTCTGTGGAGCAAAACATTGTATTTCAAGGTTCATCGGTGGACCCAAAAATTGGTTTTAGATTTTTTGTACATTTTAGGTTATAAATTCAAGAAGACTTGAATTTCCATTTTTTTTCTTCTGGATTACAACTTCCAAGGATGTCTACTGTGGTCCTGTGGATTATAACTTCAAGAAGATCTGGATTTTTACCTTATTCCTAGGGGACTGAATTTCCAAAGGGAGCTACTTTCCTATTAGATGATATCAAAATGGATGAGAGATAAGGGCATCATGGCCAAGGCTAGGGATGGGTATCGAGGTTCCCAGGAGTCCAATTCCTTGGAATCTTTACTCTGCTTGTCCATTGATCCCGTTTATCAATTCTTGCACTCTCGCTATGATCAGCCGATTTCAGGTCTTGTTTTGGAGGAGGAAAATACTGGGGAAGACTACAGTGTGGATATGGACATTACTTTTATTTTTATTGCACAAAAGGATGAGAGTGCGATGGTAAAGTGGAGACTGCTCCAGGACAGAAACAGCTGCATCACAGTGTTACCACAGCACCTGCACAGATAGCATGCTAACACTAAGCTAGCCAAGAACACAGAGTGATGTTAAAGCTGAGTAATTATTTGTGTTATTTGTGGTGAAGCCAAACATCAGTTTGTTACCTGAACTTCAACAGGTAACACACTGATGAACAGTCAGGCTGCAGGCTCCGTTTCTACCTGTTCACGCGTCTACATTAGAATCACTGTGACAATCGCATTGAAGTGCTAAATTCTTATCAATTCCCATTTCTAGCCAATGCATAACCATTCTTTCTTCAGCTGCTCTCCTTTACAGATTAGTATTAGAAATGAGCATTAACTCAGGTTAGATTAATTGGATAAGTATAATTAAATATGATTATTTTTTGGTTGTGCTTTTGCTTTGCTCCTGCTAAATTGCTTTAATAAAATATCCCACATTAAAATAGTCTAAATTGTGGACATTCCTTTTTTAAGCCTTTGTGAAATAGTAATGGTAAAAACCTGTTTATTTTTATAACATTTACAGTGTTCTTAAAGGTTACTGTAACCTTACAAATAACAAATCCTTGAGGGCTACTTTTCCAGGTCATAAAATTTTTGTGATTTTTCAGCTCACTCCATTGCTGATAAATACATTTATTTATCAGCAATGGAAAACTTAAAGTTTTCTGCAAAACATTTACACAAGCCAATGATCTACTGGGTGAACATAGTCTTGTCAAATGAGACCAAAATTAAACTCTCTTGATCTCACTGCACACATTGTGGAGGAGGAGGAGAAATGGCACCTCAAAAACACCATACCCACCAAGTTTGGAGGTGGAAACACTACGGTGGGGATTGTTTTTGTAGCATGTGGTCATGCTCAAACTTGGCAGACTTCATATAACTAAAGGGAGGATAAATGGAGTGATGTACCAAGACATCCTTGACCTGTTGCCATCAGCCATGATGCTGCATGTAAAACAAGGGTAGACAATGCAAGACAATTCCCAAACACACAGAAAGAAAATTCTCAATTGGAGAAAGAAAACACATCTTGTGAAATGGCCCCGCCTTGAATCCATCGATAAATCTTTGGAAAGAACTAAAAATCCGAGTTCACACTCTGAAACCTTTAAGATTTAAAGACAGTTTGTGTGGAAAAAATGGATCAAAGATCACACCCAAGCAATGCATGCAGCTAGTTGTACTAAGTATTATATAAATTTCAGTAAGCATGCTCAATACTTATTCCCTGTATCATTCTGTATTATTACACATTATTATTTGAATTGAATCCAGGAAACTTATAGATCCTTCAAGATTGTCATTTCATAAATGAAACTAAAATTAATCTACTTGAACATCGTAGTTATTAGGACCAGCAAATAAAAATACAGTGTGTCATGAAGTAAGTGCCAAAGTGAAGGTCAGAGATTTTACACAATGTCATTTTATGGGCTCAAACTTTGCAAATATTCAAGTTTCTAAAGATTTTATTTTTATTTTTATTTTTTTAAGTTAAACTGAGAGTTGTTTTTTCACTGAAACTGATTGTTTGGCCACAGGGTGGAGAAACTGTTTAATCCATGAGTTATTTGGACATGTGGGCAATGATACACCCACCAAAAACATTGAAGGTGATATATTCTAGTGATTCATCTGTATTACTATGTAATATCTGGTGACCAGTTTTTTTATGGATATGATGCTAAATACATGAAACGTGATTATTTGGAGTATCTGTGGAAGATAATTATCCATTCCAAATGTAGACAGAAGCAATGAAGATACAATATTTTGGACGATAGGTTTTTCTACTACAGTAGCTTGGTAAAAAAGCAAGAATACAATAACATTCAAATTAACTGTATTTATATATAGCACCAAATCACAGCAACAGTTGCCTCAAGGAGCTTTATATTGTAATGTAAAAACCCTACAATAATAACTACACAAATAAATTAATAGAACACAAAAAGATTTGTGAGGGTGAATTTCAATTAATTATGTTTCCATTAAAGTTAAGGCGTCCAACTCTGAATGTGGATTAGAAAGTGCAGCTTTAAACAAAGATCCACACTCTACATGGGGTCTTTCTTATGGAATACCACAGCCTGTCTCTGATAGAAATGAGGCTTGTTCTTTCTTTGATTCCACTGACACATTAAAATATCTCTAAAGGTTGTCCTGAAGGTCTTGTTGCATAAGGCATAGCACATGGGGTTGACTGTGCTGTTAACATAACACAACCAGTAGCCCAGAGCCCAGAGAGTTTCAGGGATACAGTCCTGACAAAAAGTATTGACCAAAACCATGATATTATATGGTAACCATGTTGTAATGAAGGCAAACAGAATGGCGCTAAGTGTCCTTGCAGCTTTTTTCTCATTTGCCTTTTTTTCGTTCTTGCGCTTGCTGATCTCTGTCTTGGCCTTGGAGGCAAAGCGTTTGGCCACTGCAGCGTCTTTCATGGTGATAGCTGTAGGTGACGGGTCAGCAGAACAGGAGGTTGCTGCATTTGATCCTCTTGGACTTATGTTTGTAGACAGGGGATATTTTTCCTTGTTTTCCTTCCCCTTTCTAGACTTCTTACCATCTATATAGATATATTAAACATCAAAAGTGACATGTAATGAACATTAAACATCATCAGGTATTTATTTATATATTATGAAAACAAAGACCACTAAATAGGTCTATGTCCAACCTTTTGAAGATCTTGCATCGACTTCTGCCTCTGAACCTGACTGGTCTTCTGAATCCCAGGCCTCGTTATTGTTAAAGCTGTCACAGCTACTCTGTTCTGCTGCTGGTGATGTGGCATTTAATCTCTTGGATGCATGGTGAACTGGCAGAAGAGATGAAATCTCAAAGCAGAACATGCTGCATTTCCCTCTACTTTCTATGCCTCCTGGTAGGCTTGCGTTGTTCTTCTCAGAAGACAAATAATTTAGTCCATAGCTGCTGTATTTTTGGGACCTCACCTGGTGCAGCATAGCTGCTGAGATATTCTGGTTGTTGGGTGCACTTTCTGTACCTTTTTTTCCACTACTACCGCTTTCATGTGGAGCCTGATTTGGGTTGTTCCCTGACCCAGATCCCTTGAGACCCTGTACATCTTTAGCTCGCTTCTCTGTCTCCTGATATATCTTCCAGAACAGGATTGCCATAATAGTTACTGGCAAGTAGAAGGCAGCAATAGCTGTACAAAATGTAATTATAGGCTCAGACAAGAACTGAATATAGCACTCGTTTGGCTGTACTGTCCGCTCGCCCACGATGTACTGCCAGAACAGAATGGCTGGGGCCCACAGAATAAAAGAGATAGACCAGGCTAATCCAATCATGGTCATGGCCCGCTTGGTTGTTCGTTTGGCCCGGTAAGTCAGTGGTCTGGTCACAGAAAAATACCTAAGAGGATACAAAAAGAAGGCAGGCAACTATTTGAAGCTGTTCAGAGTCAAAAGAATTAGATATTTTCAAACCCATGACGCTCATGAAAGCTTTGTCATGGCTATGGATACATTTCCATCATAAAGCATGGACATGTTTGCGATTCCAATACATGTTTTATGTATTTATTTTTAAATCATTAAAATTTATACATCAAAATACATGACCGTAGATAGTAGGGGTGCAAGGATAGACAAAATTCACGGTTCGGTTCG